GTCCAACTTGTAGGTGCTTTGGCAACAACTGACATATATTACACAATGCTCAAGATAAAACCTTAGTGTACTGACTTGCCCATATATAGAATAGCAGCTAATGAGGGTTCAATCATTAACCACAACAACTGTGGATGTGTCAGGATAAAAGGTCTTCGGGATGCATTCTAACCTTAAATTATTAAAGCCTTAATATCCAGAATTATAATAATGACTTAATAAAATTGATATCCAGAATGAAGTGCTAAAAAATGCATATTCAGAATCAATTTCTACTAAAATCAATATTCAGAATGCCCTGATTTTCAAAAGGGTATAATCGGCATATGTGTGATACATACACTCATTGACTGTACTTGATATGTATAATGTATAAACTCATTGACTATTTCTAAAAAATATATTACATACATTAATTGACTTCATATCTGAAAAATAAACTGAAATAAACTAGACTGATTTTGAAATTTCCATGGTTAGTCAAATGAGCCCAAAGATGTGAAAGAACAAATTTTCCAAGCACTTTAAAGAGGAATAATTGAGAAATGTCCATGTTTTTGAGAAGTGGCTGCACAACTTCATGTCTGAAACATCCAGGAACAGTGACAGGCATTGGATAGCATATTAGGACATATAATGTCAAATTCACTATAATATTTGAAATAATAACAGAATATTACTTGTGGTGGCACAATATCACTACAGTATGATTATCTAAACCTCTAATTTGATTAAAGATGCAAACAATTTCTTTAAGGCCACAAGATATTTTGTGATTATGTGTTGTACTTTTGGTTATGGTTTAATGTAGGAGTTAATATGCTTGTGGTTAGGTCAGCAGTCACAAATCCTGATTTCCTGTTGGTTTCACCTGTAACCCAAATCTACACACCTCATTCAGCTAATCAGGGACTTTGAAAGGAGATATTTAGATAGATCAGTTGGGATGGTTTATGGTTGGAAGTCTGCAGGAAGGCAGATCTCCAGGAGCACAGTTAGTGATCACTGGTTTGAGGTGAAATAAAAGTGTGTGAACAGATGTGGGGTTAAGCCTATGTTTTGCACCAAGGACCAAGTCAGTGACAAATCATCCCGACAACTGATCCAATCTAAACAGCACAGAAAACACAATCATGGAAAGCTTCACATTTATGAAAAGCTTTCATGAACTTGTTGGAAGAATCAATCATGGCAATGTCATTTTTAAAAGCTTACCTGTGGCAAAGGTTTTGGTTTAGGGACAGAAAATCCTCCAATCATGACCATGTTAGGCATCACTGGTCGAGGAAACTCAAAGGCAAAGTCAAAGCGCAGGAACCAGATAGCTGCATGGCTCATGATCTCCAGCATGGATGTTTCTCTCTGCAGAAATCTTGAGGCAATCTCATCTGCATGGCTAAACAGACGTCTACAGGCCAGGGGCTGCAGTAAAGCTCTCACCATGTTCACAGTCCTCCTGAAAAAGCTCATCCGGTTGGAATACTGAGAATATCGATGTGGGATATAGGAAACTGGACTTGGACACTGGCTGGCCAGAAAGTGAGCACCACACGGATGGTTAACTTGCATGTAAATGGATGATATGTTGAAGAATTCACCAACGATGGCTCCCAGAGGCTCAAAAGGGTCTGTGAGAATGGCGTCAAAGTCCCAGTCCTTCAGTGTCTTCATCAACTCCTTGTTGTACAGTAAGCTCTCTGCATTTCTTACTGTAAAAGTCTTAAGAATCTCCACTGTGATGAAAGAAAACAGAAGTCCTCCCACATCAATAGATGTGTCTATACTAAGAAAATCATCCATATAGGGCAATACAAGTTCTTGTAGCTGAGCTTTAGTGTAAGGTACAGGATATGTAAGTGTGGTCGTATGCTCTGAAGGACCCATACTGAGACTTTCCTCTGGAATGACAACCACCACCTGATTTCCTCTCCTTCCCAGCTCCTCCACTAAAGGCTTCATCCCAGTCCAGTGGCTCCCATCTACTGGAATCACTAACAGCTTCCCAGCCTGAACTGAACCCAGGCAGAAAAGATACAACAGCATCTGCATTCCAGCCATCTTCATCAAAATCCCAATACCTTGTGTTCAGCTTTGTAATTCTGACTTCTGTCCCATGCAGGATAAGCCTATTGTATCACTCAAGTAGGTGAACCTTTGCTCAAAATGCAGCATTTAGTAAGCATATCTGTTAATATTCAACTAAATATAAAAAGCTGCCTACTGTCAACAGTCTCCAGAGTGGAACAGCCAAGATCTGTTTACTTTACTTTTAGTGGAAAACGAATTCAACCAAACTTCAAATTACACGCACACACAGAAACACAAATCTTTCTAAGCTATTAAAACATCAGCACTTATTAAAATAATAAGACATGAATTTAGAGAGCATAACCTCATTTTGCACCATAAGTCCAACTAACAGGTGTTTTGGCAACCTAACCTAACAAAGTGCACCTTTGAGTCATCGATCATTAACCACAATGACTCATGTTTCTGTGTCAGATGCAAAAGACTTCAGGTTAAACTTCAACATTACCCTGTGCTTTAGTGCTTTACGCAAAGCTCAATTTTTAACACCACAATCTTTTAATGCTGTTTACACATTTTCCTGGTTTGATATTTTTACCCATCAGTATCAGTGCAAGCTGATGCCTAGCTGTTTACATAGTACTACGATGACTCAGTGACTGTAGTACTCTTGGTCAAATACTGAACATAAGACTGCAAGTTCCATACAATTCAGTTCAAATGTATTTGCATAGCACTTTGGGAGTTTGCATGAGCGTTGTCAGAAAGCAGCTTTACAGCAATACGGGTCGAGACCCTAATTAACATCATCAAGCGCAACAGAGGCAATGAAAAACTACCTTAAAGCAAAAAGAAGAAACCTTCAGTTGAACCAAGTCTGAAAAAGGGAACAATCCTCCTCTGAACGACACCGAATAAAAACAAAACACAAAGAGAGCAATAAAAATAATGAAGAACTGACCATGAATAAACAATAATGAATACTGAATAGAGAAATGATCCAGTAATTGAACAGAACTATTTAGACTGACCAATGAAGACCAATCCCTACTGTTAGAAACTGAGTGTGAAAAACAATGTCCATGGAAAACAATGTCTATTGTTGGAAGCCTATCATGGTAACAGGCTATTATGAATAGATTAAGAAAAACATGAAGGTGCCACCCCAGTGATAGTTTAGTATATTTTTCTGAGAAAGGAGGGTGAGTGGGGCAGGCAGCTGAGGCTTTCTGGCACAGCAGGAGGGTGAAGGAGAAATGCCTCCTTTGACGCCTCTCTTGATAATAGCTGTTTCTACTTATTGCCTTGTTGAGTTCGTTTGTCACCCAAAACAGTTAGTTTGGACAGTGTTTCTGTGAGAACTACAGATAAATCAGTGAGCAGTAAACTAATAAGAGCAACAGCAAAATGGAGCTCCAGTTTCCCTCGAGAGCCTCCACAAGACAAGAATCCACAAGCTGTGTGAACGAGAGAGGCTACGGTCACAAAGGAGCTAAACCACTGACTGTCTACATAATATATATGACCTATACACTCAGTGTCTGTATATTTGATTTATACATTCATTGGCTGTATATATGGTATATATGACCAACACTCATGGCCTGTATACATGATATAAACACTCACTGACTGTATATATGATACATACATATGACACAAACACTCTTTGGCTATATATATGATATATATGATATAAACAGTCACTGCCTGTATACATGACATATGATATATATACTCATTAGTTCGAACATGCAGACACTGCTGCTCTAACTGGACGTCAGTGATGAAGATTGGAAACTGTTAACTCTGGAAAATGTGTGATTTTCATGTTCAGGTTCAGGTTCTCAGGTCACACAGTGGAAATAATGTTAAGGAATTACTGAAAGTAATAAACACATTGTGATGAAATTCAGCATCAGTCAGAAGCCTACTGTCATCTTCTGTAGCATCACTGTAGTTACTGTAGTAAACGGTGCATTTTCCCAAACTACAGCATATTCTGTTACTTAGCCAGCATGTGTACGATTGGTGGAAACAGCGTTGTTACAGATGTATGAAAAACTTTGGCATTCCCTGGGTAAGTTACAATTTTTTTTTTTTTTTAATTATTTTTAAAGTCAGAAGTAGTAAACGTAACCCCCGCAGCAAACTATTATTGCTAGGCCTTAATTAACTCATTAGTCCTGGGGAAGCAGGTCAAGAATTGTCAATAGGAATTTTCAGCTGATGACAAATCCAGAGTATAAATTAAATTGAATTGCCTTGGGATTGTAAGGCTCTATGTGACATTTTTGTCAAAAATAAATAAATAAATAATTAAGTTATTCACATATTCGAATTCTGTGACAACCTCATAACATTATGTGAGGTGTGTTTTTAAATTGTGTGCATTTTTGGACTTTTTATCTAGAAAACAAAAAGGTTCCGTCTCCAAAGTTAAACCCCTTACTTAGTTCTATAAGGTTCTATCTGTGAGCCAATCAGCACTACAAACACACAAGAGGACCAATCAGGCTCTGCTTCTGTGTCATGTCACAGTAATTTCCACTAAGAAATGGCAGTTAAGGAGAACTGTGGAAGTCAAAGCAAGATCTGGGGGACCGAGAAAACGTTCTGATAGGACTGCTCATATGTTGGCCACAAAGGCAAAGCTAATATGACAGCAAAGGACTGGAAGGAAGGGTTAGATGGCACAGAGGAGGACGTGCACTGTTCTATTCTACAGAGTTGTTTGCCCAAACATGATCTTCATGGAGGTCTCATGAGAAGAAAAACATTGTGACCTTATCACAAAAGTCAATGTCTGACATATACAAAATAACATATAGATAAGCCAGAGGCATTTTGAAACAACTGCTGTGGACTGATAAGGTAAAAATGGAGGCCTTTGGCTGCAATCACCAAGGACATGTTTGGAGGAAACAATAGCAGTTCTGGACCAAAGACAATGTTAGTTATTAACGATTTCACATGACTGGTCCAACCTACTTGTTGGAAGAATCTGCCATGGCAGTGTCATTTTTAAAGCTTACCTGTGACAAAGGTTTTGGTTTAGTGACAGAAAATCCTCCAATCATGACCATGTTAGGCATGACTGGTCGAGGAAACTCCCAGTCAAAGTCAAAGCGCATTAATGAGATAGCTGCATGGCTCATGATCTCCAGCATGGATGTGTCTCTCTGCAGAAATCGTGAGGCAATCTCGTCTGCATGGCTAAACAGACGTCTACAGGCCAGGGGCTGCAGCAAAGCTTTTACCGTGTTCACAGTCCTCCTGAACAAGTTCATCCGGTCAGAATAGTGAGTATGTCGTTGTGGTACATAAGAAGCTGGACTTGGACACAGACTGGTCAAAAAATGAGCACCACACGGATGGTTAACATAAATGTAAATGGACGGGATGTTGAGGAATTCACCAACGATGGCTCCTTTAGGCTCATAGGGGTCTGTGAGAATGGCGTCAAAGTCCCAGTCCTTCAGTGTCTTCATTAAATCCTTGCTGTACAGTAAGCTCTCTGCATTTTGTACTGTGAATGTCTTGAGCATCTCCATACTGAAGAAAGAAACCAGAAGCCCTCCCAGATCAGCAGACGTGTCTGTACTAACAACATAATCCATACCTGATGACATTTGTTCTTGTAGCTGAGCTTTAGTGTAGGGTACAGGAAATGTAAGTGTGGTCGTATGCTCTGAAGGACCCATACTGAGACTTTCCTCTGGAATGACAACCACCACCTGATTTCCTCTCCTTCCCAGCTCCTCCACTAAAGGCTTCATCCCAGTCCAGTGGCTCCCATCTGCTGGAATCACTAACAGCTTCCCAGCCTGAACTGAACCCAGGCAGAAGAAGAACAACAGCATTTGTAAGCCAGCCATCTTCATCAAAAAACCCAAAACCTGCCGTAGAGATCATGCCAAAACAAAGCAGTCTTGGACTCTGTCCCACATAGATTAAAGTTCACTATGTATCTCGAGGAGTAGGTGTAACTGTGTATTGAGTAATCATGTGGGATGGGCTTAGTTTGTAAATAGTGGTTGCTATACAAATGGTCAGCTTTTACTATAACCAGAAAAAGTACCTGACATCAAATGATCAACAGCCACAGCATAGACGAGACAAAATTCTTCACATTACATTCACTTTACCTCTAGCAAAATCCATTTTCAAATTCAGGCACACTTTGTAAGCAGTATACAAATGCATAGAAACATTAATAAAACACTCGCATTTAAGACAGTAAGAGAGTCAAAGCTGATTTGCACTACAAGGTCCAACTCGTAGGTGCTTTGACAACAATTCACACATATAACATAATGCTCAAGAAGAAACCCTACTGTAGTGGCTTGCCCATATATAGAATAGCAGCTAATGAGGATTCAAACATTAACCACAATAACAATAAACATGTCTGTGTCAAGATAAAAAGTCTTCAGGTTACATTTTTACTTTAGCTTTAAATAAGCTTTGTGCTGTCAAAGTTAGAGGGTTGGCGATGCCTTAAATTATTAATGCTTTATTATCCAGAATAATAATAATGACATGATAAAATAGACTTCCAAAATGAAATTCTAAAAAAATATATTCAGAATGAAGTTCTACTAAAATTAATATCTAGAAAGCCCCAATTTTCAAAAGCAACAATCTCAGAAAACCTGACAAAGTTTACTGTAAACAGAGTATATGACTTAAAATACTGAACAGATCTGATGAGTTTTGTGTCTAGTTTTTAGTATTGAGGTCTACATGTTATTGTACATAGCTGAAAAATTACTAATATGAACTTTTTGAACAATCTAATTAAACTAGCAAAGATGCTAATCATTTCCTTAGACAGCATGAGATATGTTTCAATGTTTCTGAATATACTTACGGTTGGGTATGTTTAAGTCAGCAGTCATTGATGCTCTTCCCGGAGATCTACCTTCCTGCAGGTTTGACCTGCAACTCAAATCTAACACACCTCATTCAGCTAATCAAGCATTTTGTAAGAATCATTGGGTTGATTAGGGTTAGAAGTCTGCAGGGCAAATCTCCAGGAGCAGGGTGGGTGACCACTCATTTGAGTTATAGAAAAGTTTGTGGGCAGATGTAGGGTTATGTTTTGGACCAGATTAGTTACTGTCAGTCCCACACCATGCCTGTGATCCAAACCAACAGAGCATAAAGAACATGATCAAGAATAACCTCACATTTATGAGAAGCTTCCATGAAGTTGGTGTAAAAAAACAGCCTTGATAATGTAATTTTTAAGGCTTACCGTTGGCAAAGGTTTGGGTTTAAATGTATAACGCTGTGGTACATAGGAAGCTGGATTTGGACATGGAAGGTTACCTTGCATGAAAACGGATGGAATGGAAAGGTACTAAGCAATAATGGCTCCTGTAGGCTCAAAGGTATCTGTGAGAACAGCGTCAAATTCCCAGTCTTTCAGTTTCTGCACAAGCTCTTTGTTGAAGAGCAGGATCTCACAGTTCCTAAGTGAAACCACGCTAATCAGATCTAGAAGCTTGGGGAAATTCCAGAACTTGTCCAGATCAGTGACAAGGTTTTGGCTGATGATTTCAGCCATGCCAGCTGTAAAGCTCTCGAACATCTGGGCTTTGGTGTAAGGTACTAGATAGATGATAGTGATGGTATGCTTTGAAGATTCATTCACTTCTGGAATGACAACCACTACCTGGCGCCCCTTTTTTCCAGCCCCTCCACCCCAGGCTTTATCCCAATCCAGTGACTGCCATCCGTTGAAACCACTAACAGCTTCCCCGCCTGAGCTAAACTCAAGCAGAGCAAACCCAGCAAGACCTGCACGCCAGCCACCCTAAACAATGCCCTGTTATTGTACACCATGTTTTGTTCTCAGTGTGGAACAGAGAAGATGAAAGGAGAGAATAACTTTGATTTCACAGTAAGTGAAGTTTCAAAGGGGAGTTGGTGCACGTAACTGGGTGGAGCTGGCTAGAAAGCAAATGTTAAAAGCAGTTCACTTGCTCTTTCTCATTAACAATCAAGCTCAATTTAATTTCACACTTACTACCAAAAAGACTAGTGTTTCAGTCTTTCATATCCCTGTACCCAAAAGTGTCAGAAACAGTTCTAAAACAGTTGCCTCAAATTAAAATGTTTATGAATAAACTGTAAATCATTCTGAAGGTAAATGGAGTCTAGTCTGCAAAGTTCTCTCCTTCAGCAGAGGGATCTTTATCCATCAGTTTCATATTAGATTAGTGTTATTAGATGCTTACCCAGAGAAAATTAATAATTTAAAAGCATAAAAGAGCATAATTAGTACTGCTCTCTTACAGACATATAAAGTAATGGCAGTAAAAATGAATAATCTTAAATAGAATTGTAAGAATTTAAACTGCAATATTCTACACTACTTCATTACAGGGAGAGAATAATGACATTACTGCAATGCATTATTTTAACCAAGTTATGCTGCAGTCAACATGTTTGCGCTACATAGACGGCAAAACAGATATTCATTGTTTTCAATGAAGCCACAACAAACAATTCTGCCATTGGCAGTGGCAACGATGAGCGGAACACTCCATCAAGAGTTCAGTTTTCCCAACTTTTGCCATCAATCGCAGCAGTGGAATAAGCCATATGTTCACTTTTTGGGGAGCCATGGATGCCAAATGTCTCGTTGATGAATTCCAATGACCACAATATTACACAACAAAAATAGAAGTGCAAAGCATATTCCCCTAAATGAACAGTATACACTGCTAAAGCTGTCCTCTGATAAATCACCAATTTTCGCTGGCACAACGCCATCATGGCAATGTTTGCGTAGCTTTATGCCGCCGTCTGCCGCAAGTTTGTATGGGTCCTTAAAAGGTTTTAACTAGTCCAGACCAGGCAGCCCAAGCAATTTCATCTGAGAGGTCACCATAAGATGCTAAAAGAAGGCTCCAAAAACCCCAAAATTTCATTGCAGGGTCTGCAGGTAGCTCTTGCCACTAGTGATGCTGAAGTATGACGAAGTATTTGATCAGAAGAACCTCATACCAATTCCTGCATTTCTCCACCTAAAATAAGCAATATGTTCATTTTTTGGAGTATGTGGTATCATCATGCCTAAATAAAAAGAGCTGTACATGCCTACGAGTCTGGAAGATTTAGTTTTAAAACCACTGACAACTAGTCCAGAGTGTCCCAGCAATTTCAGCTCTTTCCACTCACAGGAAAAGTAAGCGGCTGTGAATCCTGTCTGCAGTCAGACTCTCCAAGTTTCGCTCACTTTGGGTTTCGAGTCTTTCTGAATCATGAGGCTCAAGGCTGAATCAAAGTCGCAAGTCTTTCACGATTTTGTCGAGTCAAGTCTCAGGTCATCAATTTTGTGAATTGAATCCACACCTCTGGTACTCTCAAACCTTAAGATGTGCTACATTGTGAAGTATTGCTTTATTGGTAAACAGAATAAATTTACTTAAAGTTTGGACTTTTTCATTGTGAGATTAAACTATTTCACTTAAACATGAACAGAGAATAAAGACTCAAATTTGAACGAGTGACGCTAAGTGGCTGTGGTTTGAGTGACAGAACACCAGAATCAATTTCGACCATAACCAATTCTGTGGTGTGCTGAGCTAAATCATAATCTAGCGCTAGCAAAACCTGAAGATTTGAGGATTTTTTTAGTTTATTTTTCAAAAATTAATGTCACTGCAGGAACTTATTTTTTCTGTTGTGCTAAGACTCATTTGCTTAATATGTTCAAGAGGGCTGTATTCCCTGTTCAGCAAAGTTTAAAAGCATCATTAGCCACGTTTACATGCAGCCTGATAATCCGTTAATAATCCGACTAATAGCTCAATCAGAATAGAACACGTCCATGTAAACACCTCAATCGGAATAGTCTAGTCCGATTGAGGCCATTCGGAATACAATTTCTATCCAATTGAACGAGATGGGGAAAACCTCTAAATAATCCGATAAATAGAAGAATAATAGCCATGTAAATGCCTGAAACCGATTACATTCCAATCGGAACGTGTAAGTACGTTCTGCGCATGTGCGTCGCGTCATGGCGAAAGTTTATAACGTTCAGCATGGCGGAGCAGAAACTGGACTGCAGAGGAGATGAAGCTTTGATCTTTAAAAGACGGTGGTGGGACGGACGTCCATCTTATGTGTCTCAGAACACGACGTCTTCCTCTCGGCCTTCTTTAATAAGGACATGTGAAGAACGTTTTCCTGGGTCTGACATCATTTTAAAGCAATTTAAACTCCAGCGCGCCAACTGGAAACTCATCTCATGCGGACTGGACCTCACATGTTCGCTGTCATGGTAACATTTACTCTAAACGCTACTTCATGCATGCGCGTTATTTTGCATCGGATTACTTGTAGTGAGCATATAAATGAAGATTTTCCATCAAATTGTTGAATAGAGTGTGTATATAAACACCTCAGCCTGAATCTGTAATCGGATTGTATTCAATCGGATTGGCAAAAATCTTTGCATGTAAACACAGCCACTGGTGGTGAACCTGAAGGCAATGAGGGCATTTACAATTCGTATAAATGTATAAAGTCTTCCCATTCTTAATGAGTGTTAAGATTAAGGGATGCACCTGTGATTTTTTTTTAGTTTTCTGGGGGTAACAGATCAACATATTAAACAATTTTATGGTTGCCAAAAGGCATCATCAGTCACAAGAGTGTCATTTCTAAGGCTTACCTGTGGCAAAGGCTTGGGTTTAGCAGCAGAAATTCCTCCAATCATTACCATGTTTGGCATCACTGGTCGAGGAAACTCAAAGGCAAAGTCGAAGCGCATTAACCATATAGCTGCACGGCTCATAATCTCCACCATGGACGTTTCTCTCTGAAGAAATCGTGAGGCAATCTCGTCTGCTCTGCTATACAGGTATCTACAGGCCATCGGCTGCAGAAAGTTCCTCATCAAGTTCACCGTCCTCTGCCAGAGACTCATCTGGTCAGTAT